TTATTATATTAATTCATTTAGTGATTCAAAAGAATTTCTTTTGAATTGTTTCTTATGAAATTATTCTTGTAGAGAGATTATAGATCTTAGATTACGTGCACCATCATGGAATGATTTGTTTACCCAGTATATATTACTTATGGATAAATTATTTCATGTAATATATATATATATATACTAGACTGTGAAACTGTGTGGTGGTTTAGTCACGCACTATGTCCAATGTTTTTAATGAGTAATTCATGATATTTGTTTAATTTTAAGTTGAAAAACTTATGGGAGCTTGTGTGTCATAAGCAAGTATTTTTTATCTAACTGATTTAAAGATTTAAGTACTTTAAATTGTTTATCGGATATATAATATACATGCATCAAGTTTTTTTTGTTATTTTATTTTAATTAAAGTTTATAAAGAATTGAGATTTTTAAATCTTGATTGATGTGCATGTTATTATATTGTTCACTGTAATTTCTTGATATATTTGAGGAGACTTAATTTTTATGGTAAAGCCATTTTATATTACAGTGAAATCAAATGTTTCATAATATTTGGGTTTAGTTTATGTGCATTATAAAGAAATTGTTGAACTTAAATAAATGGAACTTAATTCTGCGGTATAGGTTCTTCCTTGGGGTTTAGGAAGACCGGTAAAATGACCGTTTCAAAGGTAATAGCTAAAGTGGGTGATGCCTACCAAAAGGTGACACGTTCATGGAGGTTATTATTTTATTAAAATTTTAAGGCATTGGTCTTATTGAGGTCTTATAGTACACTTACTTACATAAGGGCATTTGTTATGCCAAAAGGTGATTAATATCTTAGTGTGGGATAAGTGAGTAGAATATTTGAGAGTGTTTAGATTATATCTAAATAACCCACTTGCCAAAAGGTAGTGGAAGTGTTTAACAATAATTCAAGTATAATCAAATAGGTCTATGTGAGACTTTATCGTAGGTTTGGGAGGTAAAGTAAAATCTAAAATTCTACCAAAAGGTAATTTTTAGATGGCATTTTATCTATTCCAGCAGGGTGGACAGTTTTTGCACATAGTAAAACACTTTGAGAAATTCATCTTAAAACCCTAAACATGAATTAAAGTAATAATCCCTAAAGCTATGACATATTATTTATATGTTGTTTATGTGGTGTTATTCAATATAACATTTATTAGGGTTGCAGACGCTTCCACAATTTAAAGATAACTCATAGGGATTGAACCATTGAATGGTTAAAATTATATTCCCTAGAAGATAGGTTTTGATATTATATTGGGTTTCTTGGACTACGAGTCTATATATATATATTTTTTTTTTTTGGAAGAAACCTATATGCCCAGTGTTGAGTCTTCTTAGGTAGAAAAGTTGTTGCATTTTTTTTAAGTGGACTAAAGGTATTACCATGCTATTAGATTAATTTATGCTTCTATTGGTGATATTATTTATGGTGGTATTTTGATTTTGATACTACCAAGAAGCTTCTTAATTTGATCAAGAAAGAGTTAATGACTATTAAGAAGCAACTATAATACTACTATCTGACATGGTTTATGTCAGTCAGATATGATGGCAATGGTTCAGTGAGGAAGTACATCTATAAGATGTGCAAACTGGTTAATGATTTGAGATAGTAGGAAATCATATTTGATGATAAGTTATTTGTCCACTTGGTAATTTATTCTCTACTTAGGTTTTTTTTTTTATTTATTTATTTTTTTTTTTTGGCTTTTCAAGGTGAATTATAATTCATAAGAAGTTAAATGTGGTATTAACCAGCTGTAAACACTTTGTGTGATTAAAAGGGAGTGACTCAAGGGTGTTAAAACCGAGTCAGCTTATCTTGCCGTGACAGCAAGAATCGTTTAAACTAGGCGGCAATAAAGTATGTAAGGCTAAACAAAATAATAAAAGACAGAACAATACATTAAAAGACATTGATCATGGAATGATAAATGTTGGTTCTATAGAAATAAAAAGATATCAAAAAGAAAAAGGCTATTGTGGTGAAAAAGAAAAACAAAACAGGAAAGAAAATTGTCATGTTAATATTCGAGCCAAACTTGGTAAAAGTATAGGCATTGACATGGTAGATGGATCCAGATGTGATCACATCTGCTTCTTATTTTTCAATTAACTCGTTACGTTCGAATAAAATCGTGTTTTGGTTAGAGAGGATTCATTTATGTTATGTATAGGATATTGGGGAATGTCTCTCAAAAGAGACTTGAACGCTTGGTCAAGGATGAGATTATTAGGTTACAAATTTTATGCGTTGGTTGTATCAAAGGATAGATACAGAGAAACACAATTTTGAGGCTAGTTGGTTAAAGACTATATTTATACCGAATTTTGTTGTTCATTTCTTATTATAGCTCGTTTACGGCAAAGATATTTCATTGTCTTCATGGATGGGTTCTCAAGGTATGATTGTGTACTTACTTAATCCACCAGAAGTCCGAAGCACTTGATGTGTGTAAAATCTACTAGACTAAAGTTGAAAGTAGTTGGTATAAAGATTATGGTTTTAAGATTAGACAAAGGTGGTGAGTTTTATTGGGAGAATGAATAAGGAGGGTGTAAATTGTAGTATTTTCAGTACATACTTAAAAAGTAGTGCATTGTGCCACAGTATACCACTCTTAGTTTTCCTAAACAGAATAAAGTTGTAGAAATAGAAAGTATAGGAATGTTTTATAGAAACAGAGTAATATAATGAAGATATCAATGAGCTTGATACTCACACTATCAATGCTTATTTTATTGGGCATCTTAAAAGATTAAAGGATTGATGATTTTTCTGTCCAGTCTACCTATAGAGATTATTGATATATATCATACAAAGTTAATGAGAGTGGTGAATCCAGTGGGAGTTTAAGATATTGTAGTTTCTTTTGTAGAAAAGCATTTTCAGCAATTATTTTATTTATTTCAGGCTTTATTCCACTTTCCTTAGTGGTTTCAGTTAAAACTCATGTTCCCATTCTTTCAGTTATTCCCACGTAATTAGTTATTTCTTCTTTGCAACCTTTTCTTTTAGTTTCCAATCTAATTCCTAAGCCTGTTTAGCTTAGGAGATCTTCTAGAGCTTGGAAGTATGACGTAGTTGGTGGTTTTGAGGTATCTGATGGATATAAGACAAAATTAATGGTCAATTGCTTAAGCAAAAGTTAAGTGTTGATTTCTTTGAGTTTTTTCTCCAATTTCATTAAAGGACTCTTTAAGAGTCATTATTTCATTATCACTCATTTATGCCTTACGCAAGTTTTACAGCAATGGTATCCAAATTTTGATACAATGGTTACTAATTGTAGGTTCAAAGAGAATGTTATGGATAAATATATATACCTCAAATTCAGTGGGAGTCATTTTGTTTTCCTTGTCTTATATGTTAATGAAATTTTGCAAGATTGCAATGACATTCATGTGATACGTGATATTATGAATTTTATGTAAAGTTTTTGACATAAAGGACATGAGTATGCAAAGTATGTCCTTGGCATGAGGATCCATAGGGATCACGCTACTAGAATACTTAAAGACTTATATTAATTAAGTATATGGAAACAATTCAAGGGTGACCGACCGTAGTAAGCCCATAGACATAAAGTACATTTTCAAGCATGAGAAGGTTAAGGTTTAAGTGCCATTAAGATTTCTACATATGGTTACAGAAAGATTTTTGCAGATCCTCTCACTAAAGGTCTTCAACCGAAGATAATAAAATATTTATAAAGCACGTGATTTGGATAGGTGTTCAAGAGTCATGTCTGGTATTTCTTTTGTATATGCTACATTACAATTAGTTTCTTTACGCCTTGTGGTGACAGTTATTTTTCCTCCAGTTTGCGCCTTTTGGTGACAATTATTTGCATCCAAAATAAAGTTATGATGCATCATTATTATTATCTTGATATATATGATTTATGCACGTGCTATTATGTTTGCTTGGGAATGATATTTCACTCATGCAGTTGTTTGGGCTAGATATGAAATTGACACCATATCGGTAAATCCAAATATAAAGTTTGTTTGGGAGTGGTAATACACTCATAAGATTGTTTGGACTAGATGTGAGATTGACACCACATTGGTAAATCCAAACATAAATATTAAAGTTTGCCTGGGAATTTTTTTCACACTCCATGAGGATAGCTTGGGCTAGATATGGGATTGGCTCAATATCGGTAAACCCTCATACTGAACAAAAGGTTGGCAGTTTGCTGTAATATGTTCAGGTGACATACCACGATGGTATGCAGTTTGCACATCTCATAAAATACAGTAAAAACCATTATATTTGCTTAAATCCTAGATGAAATCGGTTTTGAGATCATGGTACTGTTTAGACTAATATATTACTTGTCTACGCATTCATGATCCAGTATTAAGAAAGTCTATGGAGGAGAGTGTTCTAAAGTATTAATCCATCTATTTCGATAATTGTATTTTTATAAAACAAAAATGAGTGGCCACTCGACTTTTTCTAAAGTGTATTGCAATCCATAATGTCATTTTTATAAAACTTAGAGTGCATGGATCAAGTGGGAGATTGTTGGAAATTTTTATATATAAATAATAAAAATTATTTTATAATCCTATGCACTACGTTTTCTAAAATAGGATTGTACTGTGATTATTGATACTTGATGGATTGGGTTGTACTTTTCAATTTGGTGGTCTAATTGGGAGTATGGTTTATAACGTTAGATTGTGGTTTTCCAACTTATTTGGTATGATTCAATTCTAACCATTTATATTTAAGTTTCCATGATAGGAAGGAAGACTTGGGTATATTTTGTAGAGAAGTCGTCCCCCCCTGTTGTTGTTATATATAAAGGTTTTAAACCCTTATGCAGCCCTATCGAATGACAACTCTCAGAAAGGTATATGTGCATTAATTATCAATCAGGTACGAGTCTAAATTACTCTTTAATTGATTAAAGTATTCTTAATTTCTGCATGGATTAATTTGATTAAAACCCAACATAACAGTTTCTGGATACTTAAGCTTCCATGGTCAGCTGCTGTTCTTGACTACTTGTTGAGACACCCAGATCATTTGCTAGCTTTGTACATAACTGCAAATACAATATATTTGTATACATGTTAGAAATATAGGTTTGGGACTCCAGAGAAAGAGAGAGAGAAACCTGTCTATAAACTGTAGAATCTCCAAATGATTTTCTTAATTCAACTATGTTCAAGGATTTGCTTATCTCAAACACCTGCCACAATTATCCATAACAAATTAGAAATACAAATTAGAAGGTTTAGATGATTGGTAATTGGCATACAATTTGGAGTATATATTATATATATTTAGTTCTTGTATAACAACTTGTCCTGATTTTAAAAATTGCTTACTTCTACTACAACTGAAAGAGTCCCCAGGCTTTTCTGACCTTTACGCTCTTTCATCACCTTAAGCTGAAAAGATGTATATAAATGTTATATTTTTAGAACTTGTAAATCTATTCATTAATAGAATTTGTAAATCAATTCATTTTCATTTTATTTATTTCAAAAAGGGGGTTTGTCAATAGCAGATTTTGTGATCAAACACTGGCTTGTGGAGGGATGAGGATTAGTTTCTTAAACAGTGTCGTGTATGGGGAAAAAAATGCCTTAATCTGAGCAATCTTATAGATTTCATTGAACTTACCCTTCCATTTTTCCTCTGGACTCGGAATCCCATCTCAGTTACAATATCCTCAATCCTCGCAAGCAATTCTTTTGGGGAATGGTTGGATATAAATCTGATCTTCCTTTCCGAAATATCCTAAAATAACAAAAACAAATGCACAAACTTCACAATTAAATTACTTATAGAATTTGTAAACTTCACTATTGAACAACAAAAATTATGCTTAAAGATATAATATTATAAATATAGTTATTTTTTTACTTAGGTTTTTACCTCTTTCTCAAAGAAACCAGACAGATCTAGGAATGAAGACATTCCAATCAGCTGAAAGGCATTGATTAGTGTAGGTGATTTAGATTTTTTTTCTGCTTCTGATGTCTACAACAGTGAAATAAATTGCATCAGCTTTGGCACAAAATCATTGAATGAATAAAACCAACAAGGGACAGAAACAACCAAGCTATCCAAGTTCATACCATCCCATGTATCGACAAAACTTCATCATCTACGTATATATCTTCTTCGTCATCATCAGGGTTGGCAGGAATATAGTCTTGCTTGAACCATTCGTCTGCTTTGATCTCTGCCATTGTTATCCTTGTAACAGGGTTGGGATCAAGAATTCTCCTTATTAAGTTTTGTGCTCCTGGGGTTAGCCATTTTGGTATCTGAACATCCCCCTTGAAAATCTGAAATGTTTTGAGAGGATTAGAGATTGAAAGTTTATGAAATTCCAAGTCATAAAAATGTGTTGTATACTTGTATATACTGTAGAAAACATATAAATAAAAAGGCTTTATTAATGTACCTTTTGATAGAGAACTGCAAGATTTCTATCGTCAAATGGCAGATATCCTGTGAGAATTACATGCAAGATGACGCCACACGACCAGGTATCTGAGGTGGCACCATCATATCCCCTATTATTAAGAATCTCAGGAGCAACATAGTTTGGACTTCCACACGTGGTATGCAATAACCCATCATCCTAATTTTAAGAATTTAAGGTAAAGATAAGTATCAGAAGAATAAGTCGCCATCACGAAGTGCTTGTTTCATTGGAATCATACCCTAAAATGCTGAGGTAATGCACTGAGGCCAAAATCAGATATCATTATGTTTCCTGTTGCATCAACAAGTACGTTCTCCAGCTACATAACAAAATAAATTTACTCTTATAGATCAGATTCAAGTTGGTTGTTTGACTCTTGGATTATTATAATATACTCTTAAGGTCAGGCCAGAAGAAAACCTTAAGATCCCTGTGATAAACGCCTTTGTTGTGGCAGTAACTAACTCCATCAATTAACTGTTGGAAGAGCTTCCTACCTCGAGCCTCGGAGAGCTTTCCTTTGGATGCCTATAAACCATGAGCAGAATGAAAATGTAATACCCAAGATTTGAGCTTAAAGCACAAGATTTTCCATTTGAATTTTGTTTATACAATTGGAAGAACTCCTTACAATTCTGTCAAACAATTCACCGCCATTCACATATTGTAGGACCATATAAATCTTGGTTTTGCTTGCCAAAACCTGCTTATTCAACATTAACAAAGGAAAGCATAATCAGAACAGTATCAACACATATTAAAAATAGTCGACTTATACATATTTTCATTTTTGCATAAAGCTGCAGCACTGACGCAACAAAAAAAAACTCTAGTGGTTTTGGCTGTTTAGAAAATGGAGTGTATTTTGCATGAGTAAATGGGGCTGTGTAGAAAAATATCACTACAACTTCTTTTTAAAACCACAAATTAATATAAATAATTTTTGCAGGTCCAAATGGTTTTCCCTCACCCCTATTCACATAAGCCATAAAGGTAATTAATGTGTTTAACTAGAAAAAAACATCAAGAAAGCATATTCTCAAGTAATTTGAGTGAATAAATATTTAGTATTATTTTTGTAATCCTAAGGAAATGCAACACACTCACCCACTTTTACCTCTAATAGACACTTGAACCCTTATTCTCTGACTTTGAGAGGCAAGAATATATTATTACGCTACAACTTTTTGTAAATATTACAAAATAAGAAAATAAATTGAATAATGATTTTGACACCTAATAATCCAACAGAGGAGATCTGAATAGAAACCTTTAGGCCACAGAAGAGATCTAAATAGAAACCTTTAGGCCTGAATAGCATTATCCATATTAAAAAGAGCTGAAAAAAGAAAAATGGTTCCATTTATCAATATCCAAATTGGACTATTAGAAAAGACAAGAGAGAATACTCCATTGAAATAGATGGATCCTACTACAGTAAAGTTAACATTTTCAGCAAATGTGACATTGGTGTTAGAAATATAGAGTGAGAACAATATTATATTGTATTGAATTAATGTACATTACATAAAGGTCCCACATATAGGAGAAGGTTTGGGATAGATGAGTGATGAACAAGTAACCTATAAATAATAATATGGCAGGTGTAACAATACATGGTTATTTGTAATATGCAAGAAACCTATGTGGTAGGTAAAGGGGTAAACTTGTAATCTAACAATTGATATCTCTATCAATTTAGGGTAAATTACACGGATCTCCCCTGTAGTTTGTCATAATTACAAAGACCTCCCCTGTGGTTTGGGAATTTACTCGGACCTCCCCTAAAAATGAAATTATCCTACCCGAAACTCCCTTCTGTTACAATCAATGACGGATTGTGCTGACGTCATGTACTAAATTAAGTAAAATGTCCATAATACCCTTATCCTTACCATTTTATACCATTATATATGTAATGGTGGGATAATTACACTTACCTCCCTTGAGATTAGGTGTAATTATAGGCGGTACCCCTTACGTTTCAAAAATTACACTGACCTCCCTCCAAACTAATCGGCATTTTATTCAGGCCATTAACCATATAAAATGACTAAAACACCCTCTAGTACTTTATTAATATCACATAAAGAATAATTTTTTTTTTTTGAAATTACCATATTGTCCCTAATATTTTATTAATATCACATTAAATTATTCTTTCTAAATCAACTAATCAAGGTCATATATATATATATAATTTTTGGGCAAATCATTTCAGCCTTCCCAATCGCCTCCATCTCTATTCTCTCGTTCTCAACTCTGAACTTGCCGCAAACTACAAAATCTACAAGAATCAGAAGTTCAAAACCCATATATTTCAGTTAATCTCTCTGTCGGTAAGAATCAAAAGTTCAAAACCAATTACACATATCAAAACCCATATCGACATATCATTTCAGATTGTTCAAAAAATCAAAACCCATATCTTTCAGTTTTCATCGTCCGCTGTTCTAGTTAGGGTTTGCTGTTCGCAAGCTTCAATCGCTGTCTCTCAACTCTCGGCTTGCCCCCCTCTATCTCTGCAACTGCTAGCTTGATGTTGTGGTGTGATTTTAGGCTTCTTCTGCCTAAAATCAATGAATTCATAGTTTGACAAAAACAGAAAATTCAAACAACACATTACCAAATCAAATCCAAAAAAAAAAAAATCAAAATTCAATGAAATTCTTCCAAGAACCTGCAACATCCGAGCCAATTCCTCATCGGATTTCACCAATTCTGCATCAGCAGCATCTGTCGGCAAAAATCAAAAGTTCAAAACCTATTACATATATCAAAACCTATATCGACATATCATTCCAGATTGTTCAAAAAATCAAAACCCATATCTTTCAGTTTCTGCTGATCGCCGTAATATTCACCGGCGAAATGCGAATCTAAATTCAGAAACTGTAGCGAGCTCGACCGGTGTAGTGGTTCGAGTCGCTGATCAACTGAGAGCTACGAACTTGTGAAACGACGGCGATTTGACGACGGTGAAGTAATCGCTCTTCTTGTACTCGTTCAGTTCGTCTCGGTCGTTGTCGCAGGGATGATGTTTTCGCAGAAGACCATGTTGTTGTTGATTGGGCTGATTGCAGAGTTCAAATCGATGAAGAAATAGGTCTCGATCTATTAGGGCTTTGGATTAGGGTGTAGCCGCGGACAGCGGAGTTGAGGAAGAGAGCTGCTCTGTCGGTGGTGAGAGGTTTCTATAAATTCTGGCGACAAAATACTCCATCGATTCCAGTGGCGAGAAGCTTCATCGATTTCGTGGCAAGATGCTCCATCGATTTCGGTGGCGCGATGATTTGCAGCTATGTACATCGACCAATATATATATATATTGGATGGACTAGTTTATATATGTATATGTGTATATGTATATATATATATATATATTAACCAGTGTTATGTACAGAGAGCCATGCTTCTAAATTGGTTTTAGAGTGAGATGTCAGATGTGTATATATAATTGTTTTAAGGGTATATGAGTAATTTTCAATTTAAAGGAAAGGGTGAAAATGTCTTTGTAATTATAGTAAGGGCAAATTTGATATTTCATGCTAAAAATTGCTAACATCATTATTGACCGGCGTTGAGTGTCACCGAAAGGGACAAAGTATTAGTCCAGAGCTAACTATGAGGGAGGTTGGTGTAATTATTAAAATATTAGGAGTAGTGCCTGTAATTAGACTTAACCTATGTAATTATCCCATATAATGTTTTATATATATATAACCGTTGCTACCTTCTCTCTCTCTCTCTCTCTCTCTCTCTCTCTCTCTCTCCTTTTTTTCCCTTCTTTTCTTTCTACTTTATTACTGCCTAAGGTTGTCGTGCCTCTCTCTTCTTTTCTTTTCCTATTTTTTTCCTTTATTTTACATTACAAAGGATGTTGCTGGCAAAGAAGCTATGCCACTTGTAGAATACACGAACAACAACCAAGGAAAAAGCTTATGCAAACGCCGGTGACCAAGACTCAAATTGGGTCAATGATGATGTTGTTATCGGTGTTGTTGCCTCCGATCGGTAATTTCCAAGGTGTTGTCTCCGATCGGTAATTTTCGGTTCGTATTACAATGAGAAAGGTCGTTGACTTATCACCGGCTTCTTTGCTTGCTGCTGCTGGTAAGGTGTGTGTATGAACAGTAGTCGAACGGCAAAGAGAATCGTCAGAGCGAGCATGGTCTCTGAGAAGATGGAGGGAAACACAAGCATCGATCGATGGCAAAGACCTTCAATGCGTGCGTGAGAGGTGTCTCCAGCGGCGACTGTGAGCAGAGCAGAGGGTCTCTAGTACTTTGCTCGAGTTTTTTTTAAACAAATTAATGCGCTTACCCATAAAAGAAATGGAGTATAAAAATACATTTTTAAAAAAAAATAAATTAGAGTACCAAGGTACAAAAAGTAGGAATAAGATTTTTATTAACACAGTAGTAACATTGAGCAAGTGAAATTAACTTCCTCTTGTCCAATTGGTTTTACATGTTTAATTCAAACATGTTGTCATTAGATTTTTAACTTCATCAATACATTTCTTACCTTTCTTTTTCCATCCTTCTTCTGGAGTTTAAGCATAAAGTAGTGTAATGATGTTGATAATTGGGAACATTTATACATATAAGAATATACTTTTCTTGTAAAAATGAATAATCTTAATTAAAGATCTATGTGTATGAATATACTTGCACATGATAAATCTAAATTAAATTTTGCTATCGATAATGAGTGCACGAAAATAAATAGATAGACGTATAATTTACGCATGCACATGTATTGAATATAGGAGTATATGTGGATGTACTATATATAAAGTTACGTGGTTCACAGCCCTGTTGAGAAACATTACTTGAGAGAGAGAAAAGTTAGGGATAGGAAGAAAGTTGAGGGCATTTTAGTAAAATAGATAAGTTTGGTAGTGAAATTAGAGGTCCGTGTAGGATAGTTTTATTTTTAGAGAAAGCCCGAATAAATTTTCAAATCACAGAACAGATCCCTGTAATTATGGCACCATAGGAGAGATCTGTGTAATTTACCCATTAATTTAATAGATAAAATTAGGAGATATGTTCCAACTTCTAAAAGGTATGAAGATGTATGGTCCATCCCATCATGCCATGGGTAGTTCAAAGTTATAACATACCAGCACTATGGAGGGAAAATTCCCCCTCCAATTAAAGTCATCCGCGTAGCCATTTAATTTCCTCTTTATGGGTTACAAAAGGCCCAACCCTGTTCAAGCCCAGATAAAGTTGCCCTCCAAGCAGCTATGGCTCAGTTGGCACTGCCGCCACCACCTGGTGATACGGCGGCACCTCCCCCCAACCGCAAGGTTCCTCCTGTTAACGAACCTCAAGCCAATAAGATTTGGCCTAACGAGGTTCAGCCAAACGAGGTTTAACAAGAGCAGAGGACAAGAACCGAGGTGGTTACTTCGGGTACTCATTCTCATCGCATGCAAGACGAACAAGCCGAATCCGCCATAAGCTAACGGTATGGTCTAATGGCATTTCGGATGGCGCTGGACTCCGAGAGGTCTTTGATGAGAAGAAACTCCAGAGGGTTCAAACGCCTGCCGAGATAGCCAGAGAACATAAAAACTCTCTGGTAAAAACTCCATTCACCGATGATATATACCATACTGACAGACCAAAGAAATTCACTATGCCTTCCTTCACTCAGTTCGATGGCACAGTAGATCCTTCCCGTCATCTCAAT